AAACAAAGTTATATAGTCAGAAACTACCGCTTCAGTTGGTTTGGGTCAATCAATGATAGTTAACTCAAATTGAGTCCATGTACTTTCAAACTTGAAAGGCTCGGTTCAATTAAGACCCTCTCGTAAGTGCTGCCCCATTCCTTAGAAGGGGCTCGAGTACTGGACTTTTTCTTTACGACAATAACTCAAAAAAGATCCAAAAAAAAGAGGAAGATGATTTTGGGTTTGTTTGCTCATATCAGACCGAGTATTAACACACATGTTTAAACCCAAAATCGGAACCAAGGGGTTTTTTCTTTACTCCGACATTTCATTGACCACCTAGAATGCAGAAGCGTAGGTTTCTAGTATCAGCCTGGGTGAAAGGCTATTTTTCTTCTCTTTGACATTTAAAAGGAAAGGGGTGGAGGCTTCCAACCAACCAAACCAAAGCCTAATCAGTTAAGTTAAATATTTTCATATTATTTATTCAATATTAATGTAGTACCACTAAGAGAAATTCAGGGGTGGAGGCTACACGGTTGAATAGGACAATGAATAACGGCCCTAATTTCATCAAATTAACAGCAAGGGTTATTAATTTGATGAATTTTTTGTGTGTATGAGTGGGTGTTCTATACGAGTGGGTGTTGTGCGTGTGTTTGTTTGCTGGGCTGGGGGTTGTATGTGTGCATGCAAGTGTCTGTGTGTGTGAGAGTGTGCTGTGTCGGTGTGTGAGTGTGTGTTATGCATGAGCTGAATGTGGTGCGTGTGTGTGGACATCGAGAAGAGAATAGGAAAAGAGAAGTAGACTAACCTTACAGAAAGTCGCCGAATAAATCCGAGTTCGTCGGAATTTGATCGGAGTTCTACGCTGGAGAGAGAGGAGAGAAAAGGGAAGAGGTAGAAGGGAGGGGGAAGTGACCATTACATGAATTTTGGGGAAGTGACCGTTGTCTCTCGCCGCCTGCTCTCTGATAGTGAGGAGACTGAGACGAGAGAGAGGACATGAGACAGAACAAATCTTGGATTGGGTTGGATGTGATGGTTGAGTTTGGTTAAATTAGGTTGGATGTGATGGTTGTATTAGGTTTAGTTGAATGAGATGGATTTAGGGGAATATATATGCATTTTTGAATTTGAATGATATATATTGTAAGCCTTTGAATGTTGAAGCCTTTGGATGAATGAAGACCGTACGATCAGCTTATTGAAATTTCGCTCTGTTTTATATTATAAATTTTTTATATTTTTTCAAGGTTCACATATTTTTTTATTGTTTTATTTATTTTTTTTTCAATTTTGATAGTCTATGGAATGGTTGCAACTTGCAAGCCAACTTGTCAGACCAAGCAAGCGGACCAAGAACGGGTCAAAAATTCACACCCAAGAGCCGCCCATGCCAAGTTTGGGTTGTGTTTAGAAGAGATTTAAACCTCGTCAAAATATTTGACAAAATTCTCTCGAGGTATATTTGGTTTAGGTATTAAGAGATTGAATTGAATTAATTTAATTTAGGGACGACGTAATACCAAGTTTGAATTGGGTTATAGCGACCTGTCATTAATCCCAACCCGATTTGCTATTACTATTTAACACCTAATATTATGTATTAATGAATATCATATGATAGACAATATTATTTTTATCAGGTTTAATATTAAAAATACTATGACTTTATTACTCATACAAACATAGATCTACACTATAATATAAAAGCTATACATTATGTAAACTCTTGCCTTCAATATTTATTTTATCATTTTCAATTTAATACCATACACTATTATCAAATCCAAACAAAAATTTAGTATTATAATTATAGGCTAATATCTTATCCCAATCATGATCCAAACCTGATAGGATCAAATAGTATTCTTATTATTAACACTATTTTGTATAGATTGGGTGATTTATTGTTGAGTGAAATTGAGTAAAAAAATAATAGAGATAATCTCAATCCGTAATGAGACGCATATTAGACAATTTTCTCTTGACGATGTGGTTACTCATATAAACAACACAATGAATACCCAAAAAATTAATCAAAAAGTTTTTTCCTTTGGGTACATAAAAATGAATATGCAGTTAGGTTACCTGTTTAACGATCTGTATTTATGGAGAAGAATATATATTATGATAACGTAATTTCTTAGAATATTTGTTTTAATTACGTGATGATATTGTCGTCATTTTTACAATTTTAAAGAGTATTAGTTATGTCCATTATTTTAACTTTTAAACAAAGCCCTAATGCAAAAACAAATTGGCCAATTGGGTTTTTTTTAAAATTCTATTAAACTTAGGTATAGGCCTTCAAAAAAAACTCTATGATTTAACCCATAATAGAAAGGGCCGAACCTGGGCTAATATTTCCGGGCCACCAGCCTATGGACTGGATTTTTTTGGCCCATTTTCAGCCGTTGGTCAAGAGGAAGTGGGGCTGCGGGTGAGTCAACATTTGTCATCTCCTGACCGGCCCTTAAGATTTGGTTTGTCATCTTCTGACCGGCACTTTAAATTCGCTTTCCATCCTCCATTTCATCTCAGACAGCAACTGATTGGACAGGATTCCTTTGTTCAGTGGCTCCTCTCCCTTACTTCGTTGTCATTTATACCCTCACTAGCATGAACGGCTGTCCAATTAATTAATTTATGAGTGAAAGATGAAAATTCGAAAGAAAGAGAGACGAGGAGAAAAAAATAAAATTTAATGTGAATAATTTTAAAAATAATATTAGTGACTGGTATGTAAGTCTATTTGAAAATATTGAATGAACTTATTGAAATATGTTATATTTTTTATTATAGATTAGAATCTCTATTCATCAAATAGCCTTAAATATCAATTACTTTGAAAAAATAATAATAATTTATTCGCTTAATTTAATAGCCTAATTCACTTTAATTTTTGGACTAACTGTGGATCCTATTAAATATTGAAACTTGATGTTAGTTCAACGGTTATAATAAAATTACATTATTATATCAATAAATTAAGTCAATATTTTTAAATTTAAATAACATTACTCCAACAAAAAACTCCAACTATGGAGTACATTTCTTACAAGACAATTTTTTTTAGCCGAATTCCAATAAAAAAAATTTTGGTCAAATTCCTATACAAAATTCAGTTCTTGTGAAATAGATATTTTTTTTTTGTAGCTTGTGCACTAAATTAATATGAATTGTTAGATCAATGAATCTTCTCAATTTTTTTTAATACCATCCATTAATCTAACTATTTATTTCTACTAGATTATGCACACTTGCCTTGCACATGGACTATTTGAGCTATTATTTTATTTTAATTAAGATTTTAACTTTTTTTTTTTGGATCAATTAAGATTTTACTTTGAGACAATCAAATAAATACAATAGCAACTACATACATATAAATCAAACAATCTAAATATACTTATTTTAAAATTTTTGTAATTTATAATAGACATATACTACATTTTTTTAGAATGAAAATTATTTTTTATTTTTTTTACTAACTCTTAATGTTTTGATGAATTACTTTCTTGTAAACTTCTTCCCTTAAGGTTTAGAATTTTTCACATGACGCTAATAATTTTGATTAATTTTATTTGTAATATCATAATAGTGGTATAAATATATTTTGTGGTATTCGGGTATATATAACTAAAAAGTATCACAGTTACTTATTAAATTATGAATAATACTAAAGAGAAACTATTTTAAGTTATGGTGGTCGTCTAATTATAAATAATTGATTGAGCAAATTTAAGAAGTTAAGTTGTGGTAAATAAATTAATGTAATACTGAATATTTGTGGCATTGTTAACAGATAAAAATAAAATAGATTGTAATATTGGCAATACACATAACTAAAAAGGATGTATTGAAACTAAAACATAAAAAAGAAGAAAATGAAACGTCAGAATTTGATAATATTATCTAAGTTATATTAAAATAAATCTTATATTAAATAAGATCTTAGTGTCTTTATATAATTTCATTTAAAAATTCAGAAACTTATTATCAACTAATGAAAATAGATACATAAATAAAAATAAATTTAATTATTGTAATAGTTAACTTTTATATTTTAAAAGAAAGAATATGAAAGGCTTGGATGTGTGTTATATTAATGAAGTTGTATTAATATAAATTCCGTATTAATAATGTTAGTATTGTATTTATAATGAGAGTAAATTTGTCCAACTAAAAGTTTAGCATTGATGAAGTCCTATTAATATGAGTTATACTTTAAATAGGTTAATATTGTCTTTATATTTTGTTTTAGGGATAAAGTAGTTGATCAAAAATTTTTTCTTGATAGTGTACTTTTTTTAGTAGTATAGATTATAGATAATATTTGATAAAAATTTTAATAAAAATATGACATGATCTATTAATATGACCAAAAATTAGAGGGTTTGAACATTTCTTAAGCCACCCGTTTATTAAAATGGATGAACTTGATACGATACGATTAATAAATGAATTGAATATAGGTAAAGACAATAAGTAGAAATATACGAAACAATTTGTTTATATACTAATTTTATATGATTGATATATGACATGAATCCGATATGACACAATTTGTTATACATGAATTAATAAATAAATCAAGTATAATAAAATATTTTTTAATACGAACATGAAAAGACTTGACATTAACCCATTTTACCCAATACAGTTGACAACCCTAATTTTATCCAAGATTTTAATAAATATTTTGTTGAACACATCCTCATTAGTTAAGGAGATACAATAAATAACCAAAGGACTTTTAATCCAACGATATTTTTTGTCTTATAAAAACTTTGTCTTTTTTTGAAGTAATAAAGTTCAAATCTCCCACCTTCTAAAAAAAGAAAAAAAGCTACAATAAATAGATGAGGGGCAATGTAGTAATAAGACTCTCTTTGTCCACTACCCCCCACCATGGGTCTGCTGAGCTGCTCAGCTCAGCTGTTCTGGCCTATATTATAGTCATAATCCCACGTAATGGTCTCCCCCCATTTTTAGAAGAAAGAGAAACTCTCTCTCTCTCTCTCTCTCTCTCTCTGTAACTGAACTTCTACGTCCAAACCACCGGCGACTTCCACCCATCACACCTCTAGCAATTCTTCCTTCTTCCCATCTACCCATATATACACACAAACTCTGTTATTCTTGGTTGTGATATGACCACGTATGTTATGATGGGTGTGAGCTCCAGCAGATGTTCCCATACCTCCCACATCACAGAGATCATTATCACCAGCTTCTTCCGTCACAAGCTTTAAACCCCAGAGATCTATTGAAAGGTAAAAGAGGAAAAATATATTGTGTTAATGGCAGTTGATTGAAACCCATCTCTGTTCTCTAAGAGTTTTGCCGCTATGGCGGGTCAGAGGTGGCTATATGGCGGTGGTTCCAATATGAATAGTGTTTTCCTTCAAAATCAAAGGGTTCCTTGTTCTTCTTCTCTGCCGCTTGATTCTCTTTTGATTCCTGGGTCTACCTCTTCTTTTTCTGGTAACTCTCTTCCTAAATTTTGTTGACTTGTATGTGAGTTTTTGATTATATGCACATAAATCTACATTTATGTATATATTTGTGTGAATTTGCATAGTTGTTGAATTTAATTGCTACTTTGTCGGATTGATTTGATGAGAAGGTAGGATTTTCTTTTCACCTTTTTTTTATGGTTGTTAGTGATGGATGTTTGACACTTATACTTTTGGATCCTGTTGTCTCATCGGTTGGCTGACTGGTTTTATATTTCAATTTCTTTGGGTCTTTCTCAATTCAAGGAATATTTTAATCTCAGCTAATTGTTTCTGTGATGGTAATAGTTATGTGTCTTCTGCCTTTCCTTTTTTTTTTTTTTTTTTGTTAATTTTAATGTAATTTCTTATTGTTGGTAATTTTGCTCGTAGGTGTTTTCCAAAAGATTTATTTGTTGGTTTTTGATGCAAAGTTGAATTGTTTTCCTTTATCATGTGATAGCTAATGAAGCACCCCACAATGTAAACTACATTAAATTGTTTATATAATTTGCTATCTGGTAATTGATCTCTTGTGTTTATGTTGAAATTAAGCTGGGCACTGGTTCATATGAGCTTTTCCAAATTGCCTGATTCTTTACTGCTTGTGCCTAATTGTACCTCCATTTTTGAAATAAAAGAATTTTACTCCAAACAGTTGATGCGTGTGACAAGATCAGCCTGATTAGCTATCCATGCATTTGTGTTATTATGGAGAATTTGTGGGGAAAATATCTTTGAGTAGAATTGGGTTATTGACTTCCCTATTAAGTTTTGGTGATTGATTGCTAGATCTCCTTGTTGTTTTTACATCTCTTTTTCTCAGGACCAAGATCCATGTTCAGTTTTAAAGATGTTAATGGAGGAAACAGATCAAGGAGGTCATGCTTTTGCCCATTTGATCCAGATGACAATGGAGATGAGGACTTGGATGAGTTCCTCCATCACCCTGAAAAGAAGAGGCGGCTTACAGTCGACCAAGTCCAATTTCTTGAGAAGAGTTTTGAGGTGGAGAACAAGCTTGAACCAGAGAGGAAAATTCAACTTGCAAAGGAAATTGGCTTGCAGCCTCGACAGGTTGCAGTATGGTTTCAAAATCGCAAGGCACGATGGAAGACTAAACATTTAGAGAAGGAATATGAGGCATTGCAAGCTAACTTTAACAGCCTCAAGGCTGACTATTATTGCCTTCTCAAGGACAAGGAGAAACTAAAAGCTGAGGTAGTGACCTCCTAGTTTGAAATTGTTGGCTTTCTTCAGTCTTATACTTAAACTTTGAAAAATGCTTATTCAATGGTTTATTTTTCTCCCCAGGTTCTTCACCTCACAGACAGACTGCTTCTCAAAGAGAAAGTGCAGGAAAACTTGGAATCATCTGATACCACAAAGCTATCTGAAGCACCACCAAAAGAATCCATTGCCGATTTGATTTCTGAGGATGACGTATCTAAAGTCTCACTTGTGGCTTGCAAGCAGGAAGATTACTCAGCAAAAAGTGATGTGTTAGATTCAGACAGCCCACATTACATTGATGGGGGTCACTACCCTGTATTTGAACTAGGTGATTCGTCACACATTTTTGCACCTGACCAGTCCGATCAATCTCAAGAGGAAGAAGATAACTGGAACAAGAGGTTGTTGCCTCCTCCAGCATATGCGTTTCCAATGATTGAAGTGGCATATTCTGACTTGTCTGCAAATTCTTGTTATTTTGGATTCGAAGTTGAACATCAGGCCTCCAGTTTCTGGTCTTACTAAGTCAGTGCTGGTATATATCTTTCCGTGCCTTTCGTGTCCTTGTTGATTTAAGTATGCTACAGTTGTAACTATGTACAAGAAATAAACCCAATCTTAGCACTTCCAATCAACTTGTGGTGGTGGTGTTGTAGTCGTGATTGAAAATGTTGGTTTTTTCCCTTTTGTAATTTTGTCTTCAATGTGGCTTTGTATGTTAATTGTACTCGTTTTGTATAATATGTAACTTTATCCTTAGAAAAGCTTATGGGAAATTCACATGCGCTCTTATATTCTGAATATGAAAGATGATTAATATATGCTCCGGATTATTCCACTAAATCTTAGAAAAGAGACTGAAAACACCGGTATTAGATGGACTAGAACATTTGGCGAGATAGTCTGTTTGCTTTTGCATCATGTGAGAATCAAAGTCTGCTTTTGAGTAGAGATTAAGCTAAATCCTGATAAGATATTGAAGAAGAAGCTAGTGAAATTGATGCTTGATCTCTTGGGTCACTAGGAACCATTGTTCGTTATTGGAATTTGCTATAAATGTTTCTACAGAACATTTGAAGATTCATTCAAGGGAAAATTTCTGGGATTTGTCTTTTACCTGGACAACTTGTGAATATGTAGCTATTTGCCTCAAGTGCTAGCTCTTTTTAAATGCATTGTTTTTGCTTTTAAAAGTAGTTCTGCCACTAATATTTACTGGTTGGTGCAGCAATTATTCTTAATCTTAGGGATAGGATTTATGGTGAACTGAATATCCCAGTTCTTCCATTACCATACATATTGTTTTTCTCTGTGATAGGAGGAAAATTCTAGTCCACCCCATTCAGGCTGCACTTAACTTTTACAAAAACATTGGTTGATTAGTTATTTTTTCTTGCAGAATGCAACATACATATTTCGCAAACTTAGAAATAGATTCCTCATAGAACCGTTTCCAACAGTGCTGTTTATTAGCTTGATTATACCGTGGGGAGGAATTGAACTGAAATATAAATTCTGGATTATGGCAGCAAAGTAGGAGGCCAGCTCCATATTGGCATGGTGGATTGAAAATGCAATGGATCACTAAGCTTGTATCATCCATCGTCATCATATTTTCTCTCCATTTTTCTTCTATGTTAACTCATTTATGGAGAATTCGGACGAGATCTATTATATATAACTGAGTTTTTCGCTGATTAATGGTCGATAATATGCGAAGAAGAAAAATGAAGGAAAAAAAAATTGGAGTAGAACTGAGTCTTCATACAAGAGTAGAAAGATTAACTTGTGGCCCCTATTGATGATGATTAGCAAATACTTGGGGGGATCCTTGTCTTTTTATTCTTGATTGCTACACACTCAAATAATGAATATATTTACTATATGTTATAATATTTTTTGTAACTAAGCTAAAATTCTAGAATTGTCTTTTTTATATATGTAAACAAAATTTTGATTAACTGGTGTTGTAAGTAGGTCTGTTAACAAATTAAATTTTATTTAATTCAAATTTAAAGGGGATTCAAGAGTTTCGATATAAATATCTGACAATCTTAGTTTTTTCGGTTCATATTTGAATTTATAAAAGTTTGATTCGAGATTTGATCTAAAAGATAATTAAAATATCATATATGCATGTATGTCGGTCTTGGACTGTGTGGCAATGATCGGATACTAGTATATCCGATTTAAAACCATGTATATAATATAACGGATTCAGATTCATATTCAGATAATCGGTAAAAAAATTAATTCTTATTGGACTGATATGCCTAATGTAAATTGTCAAAGGATGCATAACATAACACCCAAGTTTACATTTTTTTTTATTCAATAGTCAGAGGTATGTGGACTAGCATGCACTTTAATTAATTTCTTTCTCGATTCGATTAAATATAGATTATTCATGCCCAGACAAAAACCCAAGTTCACACACAGACAAACAATGCCGTGTCGTAAGTTTAAAATTTTAAAAAATAAGATAAATCAACCTTTGGACTAGATATATTAATTGCTTATTCGATATTGCTAACTCAAATACGCTTACAAAAACAAATTTAGAAAAAAGTCTTAGAGAGGACGAAACTTCATTCTTTGCTAACGATTATTGTAACATGCGTGATTATATTACTTATTTTTCTAGATTTTAATCCTTCTCCCTTCTCATAATTTTGGGTTAATAGCATTTTTTATCCTTTTAAAGTATGTATTTTTTATCAGTTTAATCATCATTGTATCAATTTTGTTTATAAATATATTCAATTCGTGTCATTTTAGTTCTTACATAAACGAAACGTTAAGTTTTTAACGGAATTATTATCATGTGTTGAGGAAGTGATATTGTATAAAAAAAAATGACACGTGGTCACTTTTATCAAAAAATTTAACGAATTATCTAATTAGAGACTAAAGTGACATGAATTGAATATTTTAGAGATCAATTTAATAAAATTAATATATTAAAAATTAAATTAATAAAAAATATATACTTTAGAAATTAAAAATACTATTACCTCCATAATCTTTGTTGCCGCCTTCGTCTGACTGGACATGATATTAATAATTTACTAGTTTTTTTTTATCAGTCTTATATCAACATCAATCTTTCGTTTTCTTTAGGATTATGACTCTTTAAAGTTCCATTCAGAAAAGTTACTTCCACCATACCCAGAGGTAATAGGTTATCTTTTTTTCGCACTTACTTTTTCAATGTTTTACTGTGCTTTCATTCATCTTCGTCATGCCCCACTTTTTATGGCATGATACTCTAAGTTGGAGTGAGATTTCTTTCTTACACATTTTTTCTTTAATTTTCTTTTTGACACATAGTTTATCACCCATTTAAGTCGGATAAATTGTATACAAGTGAATTCTTAACTCATCAATAGTGAGTCCCTAACTCATTAATTGTGGATGATGTGCCCAAAACAAATTTGAAAAAAAAGTCTATTAAAGGAGAACGGGATCTACCAAAGCCACCCCCTAAATCCCACTAATGAGCTTTCCAAAACACAATAAAACTCTTTAGGTAAGTGGAGTTTAGCCAAATTACTGGTTAGACTTTGGTACCGAAAAGTTACCATTGCGACCACCATTTGAACACCATTAGAGTAACTCCAAGGGGGTGACATATGGGGTTGAAAAATAGCATTCAGGCTCTTGGGGTGACATTTTTAGCAACTTTGGAGAGAGAAAGGGAGAGATTGCAAATGAGTTGATGAATATAGATCCGTTAGATGAATATAGATTCAACGATTCATATAGATTGATAAATAAAAATATGAAAATGACACCCCATTTTGATAACTACCATTAGAGTAGATTAATAATTCAGAGGTGTTAAAATACTGTTCAAATTGTAAATGAATGATTTGACACCAAAAAATGACAACTTCCTTTGGAGTTACTCTTATACCACCAACACACTGTTTAGAATAAAACAAAAGGTTTTAAAACTGTTGATATTTTTTAATTTGTTCTATTTTTATTAATTGAGATTTCATCTCTTACTTGGGACTAATTCAAATTTGATTTAATTCCAGTTCAAAAAAAAATTTTTTGATTTAATTGAAATATCAGTTACTGTGACATGTAATAGTTATTATTCATCACTAATATAAGCTAACTAGTTATTGCCTGTGCCTGAAGGTACAAAATAATAAAAAATGGTAAACAATAAATATATTTGTATTCATATCCAAAATCAAATCACAAACATAGAGAAGATATACATAAATTTAAGCATCGGTTTATAGTGGGGATGAGAAGTGGTAGACAATAATGGTGGTGATAGGAGACAGTGATGGTTGTGGTGCGTGACAATGACCATGATTGTGGCGGTGGCGGGGGGTGGTGGTGACAGCGGTGGTGGCAGTGGCGGTGGGATGACAGTGGTGTTGGTAGCAGTGGCGGCGGCGGTGGCAACGACGACAAAGGTGGTGGCGGCAGCGATGATGGTAGTAGTGGTGGCGGCGATTGGCGGTGACGGGTGGTGAGTGGTAGAGAGATAGTGGTGGGGCAGTTTCAAATACTATTTTTTTAAAAATATTTTTGAGAAATAATTTTTAAAAGTATTTTAAAAAAATCACTCCAAACACACCCTCAAGACCCTACTTTTTCTATTAAATTTAGGATGTTGGTGGTAGTGGCGGTGGCGAGGGCGGTGGCAGTGGGGGTGGGGCGGTGGCGGTGGCAACGACGGTGATGACGACAAAGGTGGTGGTGATGGTGGTGGTGGCGGCAGTGATAGTGGTGGTGGCGGTGACAGTGGCGATGGTGGCTACGACGGCATTGGCGGTGGCGATGGTAGAAATAGTGGTGAGGCGATTTCAAACACTATTTTTTAAAAAATATTTATGAGAAATAATTTTTAAAAGTACTTTTAAAAAGTTACTCCAAACACACTCTTAGAGACCTATTTTTTCTATTAAATTTAAGGTGTTAATATTAGCCGTTAGATTAACTTTAAAATAAAATTTAAAGCGATTTCAACCGTTAACAGTAAAAGTCATTTTATTTATCTTTTTGTAAGTTACTTTATTATATAGATGGATGTGTCCAGTCTATTTAAGGGTACTGTACTGTTAGTTATCATTTTATACGAAAAAGTTATAATTGCTTAAGGAAAAATTAGGATCAATCATAGGTGTAATCCATCATGAACTCTACCTTTTAAATTATAAGTTACACTTCAAAAAAGTTATAATTTTTGATATGGTACTATCAATTGTACCGCCTTTCCCATTTATTTTTAGCCAGTGTCTTTAACAGAGACTTTCTCACGGAGCACATGTTTCTTTCACTTGGTACCATTTCCAGTTTTCCATTTAGCATATTCCCTAATTACATTTACATACCTATATGTATATTATCTTGCCAGCCATATATTTTTGAGTTTTAAGGTAATTCGATTTGAATCAGATTTGTCCTAATGTATGCACAGATCATTAAAGAGGTATTATTACAAGCATTTTATTTATATTTTGGAGCCGCTATCAATTATTACCCTCATGCGAGGAAGTTCAGCTATTTTAAGACAGTAACACACGCTTTGAGACTCACATACTAACTAGCTTTTCTATTGTTATATATTATGTTTTCTATTATTGTATTTAGATTACAATCTAATTTCTATAGATGTTATTCTTTTTAATCTTAATTCATTATCAAAATTATTATATTGTTGTGATAATTTCCCAACACACCCTAACCATGCCTCTCTCTCTCTCTCTCTCTCTCTCTCCCCCCTGATGCCATAGTGTGTAGCCGCCAACACCTCTATACAAA